GGGGGGGGGGGGTAGATTGTGAGATCCCACATCGATTAGAGAGGAGAACGAAACATTTTTTATAAGAATGTGGAAACCATTCTCTAATGGACGTGTTTTAAAAATCTTGAGGAGAACCTAAAAATGAAAGCTTAAAGATCGAAAGAGACAATCTCAGACAAACATACTCGATTGACTTTAGGAAACTTCTGGGAAGATGTCGGTTTCAGAAGTGCTCATAGAAATAAAAGCTTTGATAGGGTGAAAAGTAGTTCAATTGTGATAATGAAAATGGCAATTTCTTGGTAAGCACCAAATGGCAGGTTGTTCAAGGCCATAACCAAAATTTCCAGCCCTGCCAGTACGTTGGACGACGTTCGAGAAAATTAAGAATAATTTGGATCCAATGTCCAATATTCTGTCCATTGACTCCCAATAGAGTTAAGAATTTCCTGGCGCCAACGCCCATCCATTCCCTCCCTTGGTTTCATTTCAAATTTCTCTATAAAATCTGCTGTTCTAACCCAAACAACCATAAAACATGTCTCCTATTATTAGCATTAACGACTTGCTCCGCATCTTCAACAAGCTCGACAAGAACCGCGATGGCCTCATTTGTCTACACGAGCTCAACTGGCTCCTCGACACGATCGGCGTCGAGCTAACCATGGAGGACTTGCACTCATTTCTAGAGAAACCAAGCCTCGACTTCAACGAGTTCTTGTTCTTTTATGAATCGATATCGAAGCAAAACAAAGGCGAGTGCAAGGGAGGTGTGAGCGATGTCAACGCAAGAGAGGAAGATGTCGACGTTGTATATATGGCGTTTAAAGTGTTCGATATGAACGATGATGGCTTCATTTCTTGTGAGGAGCTACAACTTGTGTTGTCAAGACTAGAGCTTTGGGATGTAAACACAACTGATACTGATTGTAAAAGTATGATCCGCGCTTATGATACCAATTTGGATGGGATGCTTGATTTCGAGGAGTTTAAGAATATGATGTCGTTGAGAAGTTCTTGATTCACTTTCAACTCGTAATGTTGCTTTGTTTGAAAAGCGGTGTGTTTCGTGTCTAAGTTATTTCATAAGAAATTTTTTTCTTTTGTCACATGTTGATAAACACGGTTGAAATTTATAGTGCAACTTCCACCTACTTGATTCACTCGGTAGTTCTTCTCAATGATAACGTCCCACAGTTATAAGTAATGACTAACGTATTCAATTTTAAAGTATAATTTGATCCGAAATTGCTAATTATTTGATTATGGAATTAATTTAACTTAATCAAACTCATTGGGTTTGAAATTAGAGTGTAATTTTAGAGAAATTTGAGTTTGAATTTAGAGTTGAGAGTTTGGCAACGGTGTTGTTGGTTTAAAATGAGGATAAGAAAACCGTAAGCTCCACGCTCGCGCCACACGATTTTTCTTCTTCTTCTTCGGTCAATGCCCAGTCGTCGCCGTCTCCCTTCTGCCTCGCTGTCAGTTTGTGCGCCGTCGCTCCCAGCCGCCCTTCGAGCAGCAACTATCGCGTCATCCACCTCGTTTGCTACCTTCCAGATCTGACCAATACGATTCTCTCTTGCATTTCCGGCGAGGTATTGTTCCGACAAAACAATATCCACGACGTTTGGACCTTTGATCTACGGATTGGAGCCTATTCGAGGTCGAACAACACTATTTCGCGAGGATTTCTTGGGTAAAGTTACTCTAAATCCAATCGAACCCTAATCTAATTCGTAGAATGTGTTTTTTTTTTTTTTTTTTTTTTTTTTTTTTTTTTTTTTTTTTTTTTTTTTTTTTTTTTTTTTTTTTTTTTTTTTTTTTTTTTTTTTTTTTTTTTTTTTTTTTTTTTTTTTTTTTTTTTTTTTTTTTTTTTTTTTTTTTTTTTTTTTTTTTTTTTTTTTTTTTTTTTTTTTTTTTTTTTTTTTTTTTTTTTTTTTTTTTTTTTTTTTGCATTTGAAACTGTTTTGTGCATAGTCTTGAACGGATTCGTTTAGTCCTTGAAATTGCTATTAATCTTTTGGATGTTAATATCTTGTTTAGGATTTAAGATTAAGACAAAAACCCACCGAAGTTGAAAAACATTAGAAAATGCATCTAAGATGTAGCCGCAACCATGCCTAATCGGTAGAATATGCTGCGGTTAGCGCTCTCATTTTCAACTATCAGTAGTCGAGAGCCATTTTCAACACTAAGTCTATTAAATTGATGCCCCAAAATTTCTAATTCCTTTCGGTCCTTAAGAATTAATCTTCCAGGTTCTAAATTTCTTGATTGTTTGATTTTTAGTCTTAAGCTTGAATGTCTAGACCTGCCTAGAGTAGTAATCAATTAAAGTAACTTGAACCTCTCAATGAAGGTGCCTTTGCTGGACACAAATTTGAGAATTTGAGCCTTTAGACTGTCCAAAGACAATGTTCACAGAAATTATAAGGCTCCTAGAGCCTTAAGACTTAACCAGCCCCTGTTTCTCAAGTTCTTGTAGACCTTTTTCACTGTTGTGAGGGTTTTCTATGCCAAAATTCTATTTCATTAACTTCATTCTTTTGTGCTACACAATAGTGTGCTGGAAAAGAAATGTTCTTAATAATGGTACACCCATTCTTATTTTTTCCATTGAACGGAGTCCTCCCTCCCTTATCTAGTTTGAAACTTCCTTTACTGCCAGAGAAGGAACAACCTTGACCATCAAGCATTCCCATTAAAATCTAATTTCTTCTTAACCTTGGAACATGTCTAACATCTCTAAGTAGTATGTGAGATCCCACATTGGTTGGAGAGAGGACGAAGCATTCATCGCAAGAATGTGGAAACCTCTCCCTAGTAGACACGTTTTAAAACCAGATACGTAATGCGCTGTTACGTAGTATGTCTCTATTGTCTTGGAGTTCTAAATACCACTGAGTCTGTTCCAATCACTTTACACTCATGATTGTCTCCCACGAACACTGATCCACCATCCCATGATTTGTCTTTAGAGGATGTCATATGAAAGGGTACACCGAGTCCAAGACCGAAGTCTTCCCTCTTTCCAGTATCCTGCTCAGTAGCTTTCTCCCCATATGAAAGGTAACTCGATTCCATCCTCCCTAATAGAGACATCTCCTTTCCCATGTTCCTTTGTTGTTCTTAATTCTCTTTTGTAGGGAATTTTTGTTCTCTATGGGCAGTTTCTCTTGAAGTGCCCTTCATTTTGGCAAATGAAGCACCTTAGAACATTTGTTTCCTTCTGAAAACATTGCCCCTTTACGAACTTCCCTTTTCTTGGATTATACCATTTTCTTTTGTAAACGAGGATTCAGCATCTCCATTTCCCTTTGTTTCAGATTTCAACTCTTAACTGCTTGCATCTCAAAGCTGTAATAACAGTGTCGTTATTGAGTGCATCGCTTCCATATTTGAAGACCGATTTCACATTGCTAGAACTATCAGGCAATGATTTGAGAATTGCTGCTTCACTTTCCTCTCCTAGTTACTCCCCAGTTTGGGGCAATATCTCAGAACTTTGGATTTAGTTATGTTCGTAGTTTGTACGAAAGCATGATATAAAAAGCATGTAATAGAAATTTGAGCCTAAACTAAGTTGATCCGATTCATGAAAAAGCATGTCGAAGTTATATGATGCATGTTTTCCAAGAAATAAATTGTTAGAGCGCTATATATGTTGAACATTATTTAGTACGATAGAAAGCATGTTATAAGAAACTTATTATCAAGATTTGGGCATGGGATGATCTAAGACGATATATGTTGAACATTATTATGTATGTTTTCTAAGAAAAGTACGAACTAAACTATGAACGGTATGGATATGAAATTATGACTAGGTATCCATGTTTAGGTCGCCTATGTATGTTTCTATTATATATGTATGTGATTGTAGCGGTTATATGGGGATGATTAAAGATTCGCCAACTAGTCTTAATCATAAACCTGACTTGATTGTCAGGGGTCTGAAAAAATATAGAACAAACTTATGATATATGATTGTATTATGTGGGGCTATTTATGAAGTTTGCAAGTTAGCTTTTCTTTAGTGAACCTGTCACGAGGCGACAGAGGTCCACAGTTGTAACTTAGAATTGGTCGATAGGATCAAGAATCAAGAATTTGAACTAGTTTTTGTTGGATGAAAGTGTCCCACATCAGTTAATTTAGAGAATGGTCATGGTTTTATAAACAAAAAATACTCTCTCCATCAGGCCACTTCCCGTTCAACTTGAAAAAGGGTATTAAAATCCTTGCGACAAATGTCAGATGATGTCATTTTCCTTTTTATTTTTCTTTTTTTTCTTTTACTTAATGTTTTATTTTATCCCATAATTTTGTATAATTGAAGAAATTAATATTTCCTAACTAGCTTGATGAGAATAATATTAAATAACAATAACAATTAATTAATATTAAGAATGGCAAACTAGATCAGTGAAGTTGGAAGTGATGTGGCTGAAGATTTTTGTTTCTATTTTTCAAAATTCAATAATTTAGTATTGTTTAATCATTGTCCTCCAAACTTGCTTCATTTAGTAATTAATCATAATCATAATTTTTTTACTTCCAACAATGAAAATAAAATAATAAAATTACCACGACCATTAAAAACAAAAAAAAAGCATTATAATTTAATAAAAGGTTGGGTTTTATTCGTACAATTTAATAAAATTTCTAATATAGTTTGTGATAAATGTAAAAATTATTGTGGGTTATTAAGTAATTTATTTACGTCTTCATGTTTTTATGGTTATGTATAAAAATAAAAATATTGTTTCTCTTTCAACTTCTCGGTATAGTCAATTATCGAAGTTTTACCTCTATTAGATGAAAGTCCCACATCAGTTAATTTAGCGAACGATGATTATGGATTTATAATCAAGAAATACGTGTGCTCTATGTCAATGCATTGTAATCCTATTATCATTTACATTAATGTAATTATTAAATTATTAAAAGGAAGAAAAAAAAAATCCAAATAGAATATTAAGATTTAAGTAGAAATGTAATTAATACCATAAAATATGAGGAGATTCAAAATTACTTAGAAGCTTCCAGGAAGCCACCAACAATATTGTCCACCGCAAAAGGATTTTGGGTTTTTAAATGTTAGAAATAGAAATGCAATTCAAATTTATGCAAAATGTGCATTACATTTCCATTATTTCTACTTATTATTTGTTTTCTATTAAGAAGAAAAAAAAAAAAATCAAGTCTGAAAACAGTGGAAAGCTGCTGGAAGCTTCGTACATAGATTTTGCTCGGACTTTTATGTGTTTTAATTAAAGTTCTTAAATGAAATATTTAGAATATGGATTCGATATTTAATGATCCGGTATTCTTAATCGTTATATCCACAATATCATTTTCATACTTGGTTTCTTATTATATCATATATAGGCCTATTGTCACGCGTTCGTCCTTTCACCTACTTTCTGACTTTTTAAAGAGGCTCTTCGCGACTATAAAGAAGAGGGGTTGTTCCCTTTTATCAATTTAGCTATTTAATACAAAAGTAATATTCTCGGTTGGCTAATTAAGAAAAATAATTATGAGTTAAATATCAAGTTTTTTTTTAATTTTTTTTTTAATGTATTTGTTTATTGGGACAAAAACCCATAATTTGGTGAAAAGAAAATAAATAATAAATATGGTGGTGTGAAAACGTATGATGAACAGCGCCGAAAAACGCATTATAAAAAGGAAGTGTTTATTTGAATTAAACTCAACAGTCCCAAAATACCCTCAAGCTATGCGATTCAGAGTCTCGCCGGACGACAATCGGGTGCTACCCGAGCAAAACTCGACCGCCCACTACCTGCCCTCCATCAATGCCAACCACCTTGCTCCAATCGATCCGGCGAAATCAGAAATTTCAACGTTGACCAAGCCTGCAATCCCGTATCAAGTCGGCGACGGAAAAGCACAATCTGTGCTTACGTTCATTCCGGCGAACCCAGAGACGGCGGTGGTGTCGACCAGGCCTGCAGTCCCATATCAGGTCGCCGACGGAAAAGCGCAATCTGTGCTTCCGTTGACCCCGGCGACCCCAGAGACGGCGGTGACGTCGACCAATTCTCTCGGGTACAGAGCCGGCGTCGGAAAAGTGAAATCTGTAATTCCGAAGAAGAGGAAGTTAGTGAAGACGATGATGTACCACTGCATTAAGAACTTCATCAAATCGCTGTTCCGTCACCCGCCGAAAACCCACAACCGCCCCAAACCCATTACCGATGACCAGTAAAAATCTCGACACTTACACGTTTGTATTCAGATTTTTATCATAATCTTGTTATTGTTCATGTTTTTTTTTTCTGGGTGGGTCAGTGTGTCCTCCTCTGCTTTCTCTGTCATAAAACAGAGGATTTTAATCTTGGCTTGTAGTTCAAATATTACGAACATATAGTGTAATCCACTAGTGTTTTGTTCTTATTTCTATGTCGTTTCGAAATTCTCTTGGTCGTGTTTTTAATATAAGAACTCCCTGATTCCGGTTGGTATTGGCCGTTGTTCAAATGAATCCAAAACAGAGACTCAGCAGATCCGCCGGAGAAGAACGTTCTCGCCGGCGCCTGACACCCCTACTCCTCTGAATTAAAATTAAAATTAAAATTATGTTATTACTATAATTATTGTGAAAATAGATATATGGATTTGTCATTAAATTTTATTCTTTTTGTTAAAAGATTCCATTAAATATAATAATGATTAGAAATTTAATTTAACAATCCGCTGTCACGCACCCCTCTTTTTCCATTATTTCATTAATTCACCTCTCAAAATTTTAAAATCTAATTAATCTAATTTTAAATTTTATAAAGTTCGAAGTTCCTTAATTTTGATTGGCTCTCGTTCATCGTATAATAAATTTAGTACCTCAAATTAATCAGGGAAGACTAGAGATTTTCACTTTATCTGTGGCGTCCCAACTCGAACTGTCATGAGCAGCAAGGGTCCACAGTAGTACCTTTGAGAGTTGTTCAAATCTTAGAATGCATGAAATTTATGAGATTGGTATTAGGGTCGCGCCTTGAGGGACTACGATTTAGGTCGAGAATTATGATGATGATTAAAGAGACTAGCAACAACGACTAACTAGGAGACCAAAAAAACTCAAAACAAATTTCGAGGGCTAGAGGTTTAGATAGGACCAAGAACCAAGAACTTGAACTAGCTTCCGCTGAAATATCCTAAGTAGAGCTTAGGTAGTATGAGTAAACCTAAGATGTAATCTAGAAACAGTCTCTACTTGGGCACGAATTCCCAAACGAGAATAAAATACCAAAACTTAGTAACAGACTATGAATTACCAGCAAACTACTTACTTAGTATATTTTATATACTCAACTTTGCTTCTTCAATTTTCTTTTTAAGTGGAGCTTGATATTATGGTCGAGGCGGAGATATACATGGGTTTTTAGATTTATATATTTTGTGTATTTCAAATAGTCTAAATTTGTAATACTGTATTTCAGTAGCTTCGGTTTGGCTTTTGTAAGATGAAACAGGAATGGTAGGACCTTCCATCCTCCAAGCAAAACCGAACAGCAGGACCACTTCTAGTTCAACTTGAAAAAGGGTACAAAATCCTCATAAAGGGACCGACTTCAAGCCACACCGTCAACGCCGTCCAAGAACGATGTTAGGAGTCAATTGTCGGGTTCGCTACCTCTTCGAAGCGTTTTTCTTTCTTTTTCTTATAATTCTTTAAGTTTTAGTTTATACGAAGCATAATTTTTTTTTTATATAATTCAACAAATTAATAAAATAAATAACACTTTTCCACGTCAGAAAAGTATGTTGCAGTTGATGTGATGTTTCCATTTTCAAGATTCAATAATTTAATATTGTTTTAATCATTCCCCTCCAAACTTCCTTTCTTTAGTAATTAATCATAATTATATATTATATATTTTTTACTTCAAGAGTAGAATTAAAATAATAAAATTACCACGGTCATTAAAAAAAAATTTATAAAATGGGGTAAATGTAAAAATTATTTGGCGTGTTATTAAATAATAAATTAATATTAGATGTGGTAATAAATGAATATATGTTAACGGTGAGCTCGGGTGTTATAAAAAGTATTATTTCTTTTTTCTACTTTAAAATGTTAAATCGTTAAAAAGAAATAATAATAAAAAAATCCATCAAAATATGAGGAGACTGAGAGAAGGTTCGAGGAAGGCAGCAAGAGTATTTTCCACATCAAATTTATACGAATATGGGTTTTAAAATGTTATATATAAAATATACAAAAAGAAGTGTTTATTTGAATTAAACTCACCTACAAACACTCCCAAAATACCCGCAAGCTATGCGATTCAGAGTCTCGCCGGACCACAATCGGGTCATACCCGACCCACATCCGACCCCCCACCACCCGCCCTCCCTCAATGCCCACCATCTTGCTCCAATCGATCCGCCGAAATCTGTGCTTCCGTTGATTCCGGCAAACCCAGAGACGGCGGTGATGTCGACCAGGCCTGTAATCGGAAACAAAGCCGGCGACGGAAAAGCGAAATCTGTGCTTCCGTTGATCGCAGAGACGGCGGTGACGTCGACGGGGACGTTGACCGATTCTCACGGGTACAGAGTCGGCATCGGAAAAGGGAAATCTGAAATTTCGAAGAGGAGGAAGTTAGTGAAGACGATGATGTACCACTGCATTAAGAACTTCCTCAAATCGCTGTTCCGTCGCCCGCCGGAAACCCACAACGGCCCCAAACCCATTGCCGATTACCAGTAAAAATCTTGACACTTGCACGTTTGTATTCGGATTTTTATCATAATCTTCTTATTGTTCATGCTTTTCTTTTTTCTGAGTGAGCCCTGTGTCCTCCTCTGTTTTTCTCTATCATAAAACAGAGGATTTTATAATGGCTTGTACTGTAATCCACTTGTGTTTTGTTCTTATTTCTATGTCGTTTCGAAATTCTCTTGGTCGTGTTTTTCAATAAAAGAACTCCCTGATTCCGGTTGGTATTGGGCGTTGTTCAATTGAATCGAAAACAGGGACTCCGCAGATCCGCCGGAGAAGAAGGT